ATATGTCCCTCTTGATATGGAATGATACGTGTATGATGGGTTTATGGTTTAGGGTGTGTCTCGGGAGATGTTTTCAGGTTTCAACCAGCTTTCCAGCCTAGTGCTTGTGCATCCTTGCATACGCGGGGCCCACGTGCATTTATCCGATCCGCTCTTTACTCTGCTGTGCTCGCTGAAGCGCGGGCACCAGGGGGCTTCACTCGTGTGTACTCGGCTCCGCCGAAACTCGTCGTCACCAGAAAGGCTCATGATATCATTAGTGCTGGATTCTTGTTTCAACTGCTCGTGAACATCCAGCTGCTCATGCTTGGTTCTCGTGCACAAAGTTGATGTCGTGGTATTGCAGCTTCGAGGCCGTCGGGCCTGTTTAGGCAATCATGATGGCAAGCATCTGCAAATATATTCCAATCCTCTATGGATGATCGCAGGGTAGACCTGTAGCCGTCGCTTATTCTTAAAGCTTAAACTCTAAACCCCGTAAGCCCCTTGTTGTACAAAAAAATAAGGCCTGTACAATAAGAAGCCCCGACCCCTTCCCCGAAACCTTAAACCCTAGACCCAAAACCTCGCTACGCAGGTAATATGCGTTTCAGGAAGGACCGAACCCCAAGACTGATTCTGAGATGGAGAAACCCTAAATTAACTAATGCAGCTTCGGATGTGTGTGTATGAGAACATGTCATGGTAATTCTAATGGGAATCATGGACGTCTTTGCCTTGCATGCTGGGAAAGCGAGTCCAGGGCCTGGCAAAAAGCCTGGCGAAGGCAGCTGATGGGACTGATTTGGCAAAAAATCCTGAGCGGAGACCGTCTCCAAGTGATTTATCTTTGAAGAACAGTGCTGTGACACGTGCGGCTTCGTGGCGCATCGGCCGTGGTGCCAGCACTGGCTTGTTGCAAGAGTTCGCATCTGCCGCGATCGAAGAATCCGGTCATGGCAACGTGTCGAGAAGCACCTGGGCCCATAATACATAGGCATCTATATAATCCTCATATAAGCCGTCACAAGGCCCATGCAGCACTCACCCTAAATTCATGAAGGCACCTAGCTGGGCCCACAACATAGGCTTCTAATCGTCATAAGACCCAGAACGCACCCCAATCCCAAATCACATGAGTTCGTGTGTTCGAGTGTGTTTGTTGTTTTTTTTCAGTGTGTGTCTCTCTCTCTCTCTCTCTGTGTGTGTGTTTGTGCTTGTGTGTGTGTGTGTTTGTGTTTGTGTGTGTGTGTGTATGTGTGTGTGTGTGTATGTGTGTGTGTGTGGGTGTGCGGGGGTGTGTGTGTACACGTGTGGGCGGCCATGTAGA